GACGAGAGGTTCGCGGCAGGAGGCTCACAAGAGGCGCAAGCGCGAGAATGGAGGATGGCGCGAAGGACTCAGCGCCATGGGCGAGATGAGGTCGATATGGGGGGACAATAGCGGACAAGCGAAGGACGCGAAGCGTGAGCATGCAGATGGCGTGTACGCGGCGGAGGAATCGGGCGGTGCGCGAGGGGAGGATGTTGGGTGGCTAGCACGCACCGCGACCAGCCTAGGACGAGCAGTGGGGACCGATGTGCGGGCTACGCGCGCGAAGGCCGATGGCGCGCAAGACGACGCGCGCGAGGAAGGCGCCTGCGAAAGGACCGCATCAGCGCACAACGCGTGCGGGCACGCGGGCGGGTACGGCAACGCGCACGAGGCAGCCGCGGGGCGCAAGGGCGCGCGCAACACGCGTGACGGGGAGGCATGCGTGAGAAGGGCGGTGCGACCTTAGTCCTCGAGGACTAAGGCAAGGCGCGCGGGACCAAAGGCGGCGAGTTTTAGGGTTCCCTACTTGGAGTGCAAGACAAGATCTCCGAGGATCCTTTAGATATTTAGTTTCCTTATTGCTTATAATATCTAGATTGTTTAGGACTTTAATATTTTATTGCTTTAATTAGAGATTTAGTTGCCTTAGGATTAGATATATTCCATCTATTAGAGTTATAGGTAGATTAGGGCTAGATCTATTTGGTGCCTATATAAAGGCCTTTCCTCTTGTTATTTTATCATGCAGAAATTAATGAAAAAGTCGAACCTTGTGTTCAATTTCTTGTGTTAGATTTCTTTTGAGATTTAGTACAAAACCCTTGTTACGAGAAGGGCGTCCACCACATTACTCGAGCAAGACGAGTTTGGCAAGGACATCCGTCTGAGCTGTCTCACCTATCGCAAGAAGATAAGGAGATTAACGTCCAAGTCGTCCGCACCCTCGCCAGAGATCGAGTTCACGCAACGTCCGAGGCAGGGTCACGAGTCGGAACACGCGATTCTTCATCACACTGGCGCGGCGCGGTGAAGCACGGGTGGCGCGGCGCGGGGGCATCGCGGGCGTGGAGTGCGGGGCCTGGGCACCTCAGTCGAGGTCGCGGCGGGTGGCGCGGCGCGGCACGGGCGCGGGGCCTGGGCAGCTCGCACAACTTTGCTTCTCGGGTCCGTTTGAGCTCGTTTCAACTCGGAATTCGATTCCGCTTTTTCCTGTGTGTTTCCAATGAACTCCTCTATTTGATTAGGCTTGCCCAACTAGTATTTTTCCGAACTCCTGTTCTCCCGAGACTTCCAACCTACGCACCAACAACGACGAAAAAAACGGAAAACGAACGAAAAACACAAGAAAAACCAAGAAGAAAGCAAAAACTAAATAAACTATAAAACGGCCTAAAAACCAATTAAAACACCTAAAATGGGGGAAAAAGAAAGACAAAAAGATAACGAAAAATGCAACAAAAATGGGACAAACAGTTGACTTTTTGGCAAAATAGTTCTGTATATCCTTTAAGTTGTTTAGTTTTTGTTCTTTAATTTCTAGCTTTTCTCTCCTCTTCGATGTATGTGCAGGCTCTATATCACAGTTGTCCATCACGGATAAATATTGGTTGATACACTAACATAATTGTTGAGATATAAATCTCTGTTCAAATTGATGGAAAGGTTGCTTCTGTAGATTCTTGATCTTTTCATAAAAAGACTATTGTTGGCTGCAAATCAAGATAAAACGAGTAGATCTATCAAGTTTATGGAAGAAATGTAGCTAGGCAGCTTTGCGCAACTTTCGAACTGTGAAGATTGAACAAAATGTGCTTATGCACCGCATTTCTGGTTCAATTAGACATTATCTACAATAGTGTATGGATTTTAAATTTCTTTATCTTCCCCATGTGATGAACTGTACATCTTTAGGATTTGGCCACGAAATAATTAGATAGTAGCCTAACTTGTGTGGTGAAGAATATCATAAAGATGTTGATGTGTAATTGCATTCTCTTGCGATTAATCTCTTCTCGGAGCAACTGAATTGATTATGGATTATGAATTATTTGAGGAATCATGAGGATTGGTTTGCTAAACTGATATGCTCAGTTTTCTTCAGAATAAATTTAGTCGATAACAGATTACTAAATTTTCATTTAGTATATAGTTCCATATTATACTATTTGAGGGGAATGCTATAGGAACTGACTTTTGTTGATCATAGATGCTGAGAACGTTACAAAAAGAACTAGGTTGGATGTCAATATAAGATAAAAGATGAAATTGTGTGTTTCTGCGTTCTCTTTTGGTTACGATAAGGTGAAGGGTCGCTCTCCAGGTTGAAGCTCAACACCGTCTGCGAGGAAGCGCAATGCCCCAACATTGGAAAGTTCTGGAACGGCAGCTCCGACGGCATTGCCACTGCCACAATCATGGTGCTCGGGGACACGTGCACAAGGGGTTGCCGATTTTGTGCGGTCAAGACGACCAGGAACCCGACGCTTACTGATCCCGTGGAGACGGACAATACCGCCTAGGTTGTTGTAAGTTGGGGGTACTTTTCCACCCCCAATTTGATTTACATTTTGTTCACTCAGATTTAAGGTATTATTATTGTTATTATTATTATGAATGGATAAGTGTGTGTGCGTGTTTGGGTCCTAATATTATTGATAACATGTCAAGCTATTATTTTATTTTTTACTGTTTAATACATCACTTTGATTCAAACTCAGAAAAAGATTGTACAGACGTTACCTACAAAAGAGGGTTCAGAAAGTGTACTCGAGACAAAAATGACAGCTCATAGATAGCGAGACAGCTATCTTTTACAGATGGTCTTCGCAACTGGAGTCGCTCGACACCGCCTTGAGCAAGGAGCAATTATGGGTACGCATATGACTGATTTGGATTGTTGAATTTTGATTTAGATGCATTTTCCTTCAATTCTTTGAGGCCAATATTGTTTGGTGTGGATTTCTGTTTAGGTGGATTTTACACTGGTCTTTCAGTGGCTAGGTGAGATTTTATTTTCAAATTTGTTTATGTTTCAGAGTGCGATTAGTTTGATGAAACTCTTGATTGATAAGTTTAACTATTTTGCGTGGCATCAGAGCTTACAATAGAGCTACAATAAATTTCTGGGGAGTCGATTTTGATATCAACTTTAACTCAAAGACTCTCTGATATGAAGCAGGTGACAGACTATTTTTGGTCTTGGTTAGTTATCATGTTTTGTAACTCTTAGATTCTTATAGTTTGTGAATAATTTCATAAGTGTTGATGGCTTCATTTATTTGATTTTGTTCGTTATCATTTGGAGGCAGAATAAGTTGTTGTCTTGTGGAATCGATGTTTTTTCCGCTTCCATTTTGATGTTTTTAGAGCTAATTTTGCTTCGGGGAACTTTTCCTGAGAAAATTAGGTTAAGGCTTTTAGGAACATCTCCTGCTGCGCAACTGCTTGCTAATGAGCCCGGGGATGCGGTTCGAGGGTCGCGTTTTGAAGCAGTCCCAGGTATTTCATGTGGCCAATGGGTGTTCGTTCTTTTTAGAGGTTTCAAGAATTTGGTTATGGTGTTTTTGGGTTTTTCGTATTTGTGTTATTTGGCTCATGCACTATGAATATACCCATCCTTCTTTTTTTCAGGGAGATAGATCGACAGGACTGGGAATTGTTGGTCTGGTGTTTCTCTGTGGTTTCCTGTGCTGGTGCATCGCATATATTCCATCTGTTTGTTAGGTAAGTCTATTGCCCTTCCTTTTCATGCGCTTTCCACTGAATTCTTTGTTGTAGTATTATTGTAAATTGGTTTCATGTGTGTCTGAGTTTTAATGTAGTCTCCTTGCATATTTTTTTAATTTTTTTTTTTTTGGGATACTACCACCCTTCCTAATTAAGGTTGGTCTGTGGACTTTGAATTCCTTTGCTGCCAGCAGCTCATAGTAACTCAGAAGTTGAGTTATCTCTTTGGCTGCAATAGCAGATTTTTATTATCCCTTAATAAACTTATTTTTGCATGTCGCTCCTGTACCAATCATATTATGCACACACTATGAACCATATAGGTATAAATTGCTGGATGGGCAATGTATATAGTCCCAATCGGTTTCTAGATATTCTTTTATCTATCTTATACTTTCCATACAAAATGGAATCCATATGAAATACACTAAACTCGAACTCCTTGGTGACCTGAGGAAGAACACCAATACACTGTAGCTGTTTTTGTACTTATATTTTTCACTAATCTTTTCTTTTTTGGGTGATTTGGCCTTTGTGCAGATAACAGAGTTGAACTCATATGTAGCTTTAAAAAAGAGGTAAGTTCTTTCTTATAGTTTGTCTACATTTTTTTGCCCATGTGTTTGTATTAATTCGTTTACTAATGAAGGTGTTTGGTTAAACATTTCAAATATCTTATAAACTTGTATATGTTATAATATGTTGTTTGATACAACTAATATCTTATATGTTATTCAGAAGCTGCTTTATATATATATATATATATATATATATATATATGACTCGCTATAAATTACAAGTAAAATTTGTGAAAAAATGTAACAAAGTGAGAGTTTTTCCATAGTTTGTTCTTACTTCTTTGTTCATGTTAGTGGGCTGTCAGCTACATGAACAATCTTGAGGGTAAGAGGGTTGAACTTTTTGCCATGGGAATTGGTCCTTATGATTCACAAGCTGATGAGAATTTTCAACTGCAGGTGGTGTTTCATATAATCGTTTCTTTATTACATTTGATTATTTAGATCTGATAAAAGGGGAAGAAAAATAAAAAGACATTGCTATCCCGGGACACCTAATTGCTACGATTCAATTAAAGGAAAATCTCAACAATTTTATATTTGTTACACGTTCGAAATAGTTAGTGTTAACATATTGGATTAAAAAAAATAAGAACATAAAAAATTTTGGGAACCTCGAATTACTAACATTTTTTATTATCATTTTCTAAAAAAAATCCTATATTTAAGAGATAAATACAGANTGAAGGATTTAGTCATTATTAGTTCCACTGATTTTTCTAAGGCCATTCTATGGCATAGATTTGTACTGTCAGGAGGAACAGGCACTTGTTTGATAATGGGTCTTATGATTGTTTTTTGTTAGAATGCAGTTAATGTGTAGAGCTTTTTTGTGGAATAATGCTTGGGTGTATGCCCGTTTGTAAGTATCATTGATTTAAGTGTTACTATCTCTAATTGAGAAGAAATTCATTCAGAGTCAGTCCAAAGAACCTTTTATATGGTTTGGCTGCAGNAAAAAAAAAAAAAAAAAATATTCTTGCAATATTTGAAAATCGAAAGGACCACCAGGTAGTCCTACTCATTTTTTGCCTTCTATGAACGCCATCTATTTACTCGCCTCCAGTTTCCCTTAGTCCCTGCGTAGCGCATTGTTCCACATGTTTTCTTTCCTCTCCTCCCTTTTTATTTCTATTCTCTCTCTCTTTTTTTTTATGTATATTTTGTTTATATTTATATTTTTATTCATTTTAACATTGTTTACTATCANAAAAAAAAAAAAAAAAAAAATATTCTTGCAATATTTGAAAATCGAAAGGACCACCAGGTAGTCCTACTCATTTTTGACCTTCTATGAACGCCATCTATTTACTCGCCTCCAGTTTCCCTTAGTCCCTGCGTAGCGCATTGTTCCACATGTTTTCTTTCCTCTCCTTCCTTTTTATTTTATTCTCTCTCTCTTTTTTTTTTATGTATATTTTGTTTATATTTATATTTTTATTCATTTTAACATTGTTTACTATCAGACTTTTCAGTTGCTTTTAATTTCATGGGATATGATCCGATTTCCCTCAAAATCACCAAAAAAAGAGATCAAATCAAGTAATAAGCTTATATCATATAAATCCACATTTTAAAACTTAGAAAATAAGTGCACATATAAGCACCAAAATTTCATCTATAAATAAACTCACATTCCTGGTAAAATAAAATCCAATACTAATCATAAACTCATACATTCAAAATAAAGGCATGGATCAACCCTTGGTCTAATAAAGGATTTTAAATGAAATACGAAGGTCATCTTGAAACTTCCAGCAGCATCTTTAAGACGATGTTTGATGCCTCTTATAGAAGTTATTTGGAAATAGTTTTCCACGATAGTGATGTTAGTATTCTTCATTATGTGAGTTAATAGTAGTTGTCAATATTTAGTATTTTAATATTTTTTTACCAATGTTTTATTTTTGTATTGCGATTTCATAGGGTGGTCGCATAACTGGACTAATTCGTGACGTTAATATTACAAAGATGAGTGACAAGTTCGAGGATGGTAGAAAATAACATTGGTAAATCACAATCTATTACTGCAAAGTGTTGGAGTATCCTACCGATTCCCCAACGTTCTATTTTGACTTTTATAATTTTGCTATGCTCCAAGATGTTGACAATATAAGCAAATGGTTATGTTTTTAATTTTATTTTCAAATATATAGACATACGTGTGGTTGTGTTTTCCTTTAGTTCTCTATGTGTTATGTTATTAACGTATATCCCATTGTTTAATATAAATATTAATATGTATCTCTTACCCGTGCATCGCATGAGATTCGTACTACTGTGTATAAATACTTTTAAGGTGAAATTTATAATTCTGAATTGCACCCGACCATCAAATTTTATTTTTATTAGTATACTATTTAAATTTTTAATAGTATTATCACTGCATATGATATATTCAATGATGATGTACCTTTTTATAGTTAAATTGATTACATTTTAGAAACTTTTCTTAATATTTTAAATTATTTATTAAGTTAGTATGTTTTAAATATAGTTATTCTTATTATTTTATTAAATATTTTAAGTACTTCTGAATAGTGAATATAACTAATTAAATTAATACCTCGACCATAGCTGATAATATATTTAATTAAATCAATTTTCATAATAATTTTTTGAATTGTGTCAATAATTACTATTAAATTAATATAAGATCTTATTGAAAATATATCTAATAAATGTACGGTCAAAGTTTCAATCTAAGCCAATTTGTAGTTAATGAGTAATAGTCATTGAGTGTATAAAAATTAATTATGTTTTTCATTCATAAGATTTGCTAATAAATAAGTATTATTTAAATGTCAAATATGGACGAAAAAAATTTCTGCCCAAAATCATGTCAATTATGGCAATAAAGATTGGTCCATTATATAGATATAGATATAAATATAGATATAGATATATATAGATATTGATATAGATGATTTTATTTTTATTTTTCAATGGATCATTTTTAATATTATTGTGTATAACTGGTAGCTCGATATTTCAATTATTCAATGCATTACATATTAAAACCATGATTCATAAAAAAATATATAAAGTTATAATTCTGATAATTAGATTCATGCATATCACTATCAACAATTATATGTAATGCTTTTAGTTGATAATCTTACANAAACACACTGTTTTATTATAAACTCCACTCTTGTATCTCAACACCGTCATAAAAGTATTCGTAACATCATTTTTATGATTTTTTTTTTAATTTAAAAGAGTTATTAAAATAAAGACACATGTAATATTTATATTTTTTCTATTTGATTTTGAAAGTATTCTATGAAAAAAGAGTTGGGTGATTCTACCGTCAGGTACCCCTCGTACATGCCTCGTACATATATAACAATAGGTATCCCTCTAATGAATGACAAGTGTCCTTTATCATATTTAATTAAATGAAAATTCAAAAAAAAAATCTTGTATTAATACTAAAATGCCCTTACTTAAAAATTTTAAAAAATAACATTATAAACTTTTAATTAATTTACTTAAAAGGTGTTTAATTATTCACTTCTTAAGATTAAGCCTAAACATAATTAAATATCTCAACAAAACCAAAAAAAAAAATGAAACAAAACAATCCCCCAAACCCCAATTTCCCTCTCGTGAGCCACCCAAAAGAACTCTCATCCGACGAATGGATGA